TGGTCGGCATATTAGTGCGACCAACAACCCCAACACACAACCAATAGCAGTACTGAGGATCACGTTTACAGGTATGAACCACCAATCGATGAAATTCTGTAGAGTAATGGATTCTCCGAGGTGAATGAAGATCGTACAAGGCAAGAAGAGAGCAAAAACAAGCTTGCAAAGAAGCTTAAAAGTGGCTCTTGGGACAATTTGGGTCTTGGGGTGGGCAAGAATCAGACCAATGACAGTGAGAGAGAGGAGTTTCAACAATGGTAGAACAGCACTTAGAAGATTTTCCTTTCCAGAATTCACACTTCCTATACTCATGGCAGAGAGGAATTCCATGATCAAATAGGAAACCACAAGACACTTGTAGGAATTTGACAAACCAATTCTAAGCCCAAGAAATTGAAATCTTAGTTCAAGCTTTACACTTTAGAACATGGGTTTTTTTACAGAAATTCACATACTACAGAACTAAAGCAACAAAATCAAATTATGAATACCTTATTAGACATGCAGCAGGGGAACTAATTCGATCCAAAAATGGAAAAAGTGTTAATCTTTCACCAAATCACTCTTAAAACACGCGGCCTGGCCTGGTAATTGGTGTTCTTTCATGAAAGTAGTTAGACACCCACAACCAAACGTCTTGGAAACCAAGAAATACCAAGAACTAGAAACGAAACTCATTCAACAACCCACAATTTACAAACTACAACATCATTTTTTGACAGGATTCATACATATAGTACACACTACATAGCAACATAATTGAAAGGGAACTTTCTTACCTAAATTTCTTAAATAAGAGCTCTATTTAATGATCCACAAGAGAGAGAGAGTGTGTTACGGACCTGAGAAACTCTTGGAAAGTTTAGAGGGAGAGAGGAGATTAGAGAGGGAGATGCTGTTTGATTGAGAGATATTTTATTATTAAGCCAATAATGGTTGAAATAATTGCTTTTGCCAAAAGATTATAAACTAGAGGGTTGTTGAAGTTATAATAAATTGTTTTTAGTGTTAATTGTTTTTGGAAAATGATTACATCACAAGAAGGTGTAGCACATTTTGACGCCTGAGAATCAGAGGCCAGAGTTTTGGGTTGGCAGGCTTTCGTGGAAGGTTACTGTTGGGCTGTCATTTATGAAGTTGACAGTTATACATAACAATCTCTCATGCTAACGTGGACACACATGCTTCTGGACAAAAAAAAGTTGTTGGACAGGGAGAGCCTCTGGTACCAATGTCAGTACTAAAAAAAAAATGTGTGATTTATCTATATAATAAAATAATTTATAATTTAAATTTAAAAAAATAAATAAAATAATTTTTATTATTAGTGATTGAGATCATTTTAAATTTTACTTTAAAATTAATCTAACAGCTAATATTAACACTTTAAATTTAATAGGAAAAATAGATTATTAAGGATGTGTTTGTAGTGACTTTTTAAAAGTACTTTTAAAAATTATTTTTCATAAATACTTTTAAAAAAAAATATTTTAAATTGCACCATCACTACCTTTACCATCACTACTACTACCACCGCCGCCGCCGCCGCCACCAACGTCATCCCCACCACCACTGTCGCCACCGCAGTCGCAGCCGCCGCCACCACCACCACCACTATCGCCGCCACCATGGTCATTGTCACCCATCGCAACCACACCGTTTCCTTCCACCACTACTGTCGCCCACCACCTCTCACCCCTACTACAAACCGATATTTAAATTATTTTATCTCTTCTTTATGTTTGTGATTTGATTTTGAATATGAATGCAAATATGTTTATAGTTTACCATTTTTTATTATTCTGTACATTCAGGTACATGCAATAACTAGTTATTAAATATTACTCACTAAATATGATACTTTTACTTATAAAAGTTGTACTTTTTTTTTAAAGATTATAATTTTATCTATAATGATGATAATTTTATCTCTAAATATGATAATATTACCTTAAAGAATTGTAAACTCACCTCAAGAAATGGTATTTTTATGTTTATTGCTTGTAACATAATCTTTAATAGTTATAATTTCACACCCAAATGTATTAATTTTATCATAAATGGATACAACCTCATATCAAAAACTTGTAATCTAACCTCTAAAGTTGGTAATTTTGTCTATACAAAACGTAATTTAGACTCAAATGATTATAACCTCACTTTCAAAGATAGTAATTTTACTTTCAATTATTGTAATCTTACTTAAAGAGTTTATACCTCACCTTTAAAGGTGATAATTTTACTTTTACATGTTATAATTTAATCTCAAATATTTATACATTCACCTTCAAAGATAGTAGTTTTACATTAAAAGATTGTAACATTCCTTCCAGAAGTTATAGCCTCACCTCTAAAAGTGGTATCTTTATTTCTACAGGCTATATCTTAACTATAAATTATCGTAATCTTACCTTTAAAGATAGTAACTTTACCTTAAAGTATGATAATTTTATCTCAACAATTATAACTTTGTCTTTGCAAATAGTAACATTATCTTTAAGCTGTAACTTCATTTCAGTAGTCATGATAGATCATGATTATCTAGGATCGATCCAAATGCCTCCAATGGATCCAAATTATTATTATTTACGATTTCACTAAATTAGGATCGATCATTACTATATGAAATTGATCTTAATGCATTTGATGGTCCAAACATTCTTTAAAACTAAATTTTTGATGGTTCTAATTATATAGGATCGATCATGACTAGCCAAATTTTTTTTTTTTTCTAAACTAGTCTTAATCCTATATTTAGTTACATCTAAATTGACATGTAATTTTATAAAATTAATTTTTAAGTTTATCCAATTAACATTCAAATCATCAAAAATAATATTAAATTGACCTTCAATTGAATTAAATTAATATTCAAAATTATAAATTTAAAATTCATCAAATTGACATTCAACATTTTTTTTGTTCGAAATATAAATTAATGAAATTAAATATTACCAAAAAAAAATTAAAGATTTAATTAATGTTGATAATGATGAGATTTTGGGTTGGGCTGCCCATCATAAACTCAAAACATCTAATAGGCCCAACGATTGCATATCGGCCCAAGAGACCCCTCCATAACACATATGCTCCGCAATAAGAAATGTGTCATAATCCAAAAGAGGAAACTCAACAAAGAGTCTAGGTTGGCACAATCCTGCTTGGTCATAAATAGCTCAATAGTAAATAAGCTAGGAGCAAAGAGCTCGGTATTCATCAGACCCCGAATACCCCACATCACTCCACGTGTTTAGGGACCAGGGGATAGATGGTAAAGGGAATATCTGTGCACATTTCATTGAAGGACAGCGAAAATGACTTATGTTAGGATAACGGTCGCCACTACAAGACAAAAAGTAGGAGACCACAAAATCAGCCAAAAGAAGAAAAATATCGTATAAAACGTTAGATAACTACTTGTATAAACAGAACACCATGATACTATGTAAAATCTATCTGAAAAACCTCTACTCACAAGGCGTTGATTAGTAAAACTCAAAACTAAAAAACTCACTGTAATCTTCTTCTTCAAGTAATATAAATCATACGGAACAAGAGTCTTCATTACAGTGGATGTAGCCCTGATCTTTTGATTAGGGTGAACCACTTATATATTATCTTTAATCTCATATATTTTCTTTGTATGACCAACATAACTGTAGACAAAAAATAATTATTTAACAATTATTATGAACAAAAAATTAGTATTTTTTAATTTTTAAAAAATATTATATGAATTGTCATAAATGTGAAATATAAGACACAAAAATAATTGACTTAGACACAAAAAAAAGTTTTTGTTAAAAATATGTTTTTATTAACTCGAACACGACCCGAAAATGTTATAATACGATACAATTAAGAGAGAAAATATTCAGTACTTGGCAGGTACCTGACTGTCATTGACAGTTGGTACTCATCACCAATCAACAGATATCATCTCATATTCTGTCATTAGTAGGGTAAGCTGTCATTGACAGCTGATACTCATCACCAATCAAGAGATGTCACTTCAATGTAGGCTCTCTTTCAATTTTTCTCTCTCCACTGCTTATCTTGAAGTGACATCTCTTGATTGGTGATGAGTACCAATTGTCAATGACAGCCTGGTACTTGTCAAGTACTAAATATTTTCTCCAATTAAGAGTTATTTAACAAGCATTAATTGATGAAATTCTTTTTGAATCATAAATGTGAAATATTTAAATTTTGAGGGATTCAATTTATAATTAACTCAATTTTTTTTAACAGTAAAATAGATAGGAGTTAGTCTCAGATACACATTAATACATAGATTTTTTAGGGTATAAATTAATATTTTTAAATTTTGAAGGTATAAATTAAAATTCAAATGGTGTAAATTGTGATTAATCCTATGATAAATTTTAGAAGTGTGATACTTAAATTTTTTTTTGGCGTCAAGTCTATATTGATTTAGCAAAAGCAATTGAACCAACCATTATTGACTTAATAAAATATCTCACTTTTCCTCTGCGAATCTCCCAGCATCTTTCTCCCTCTCTTGTGGGTCTTTATATTTAGTTCTTATTCAAGAAATTTAGGTAAGAAAGTTTCCTTTCAGTTATGTTGCTATGTTGTGTGTATTATATGCATGAATCCTGTAAAAAATGTTGTAGAAACTTGTAAATTTTGGGTTGTTGAATGATTTTCTTTCTAGTTCTGGGTAATTCTTGGTTTCCAACAACTTTGTTACGCGTGTATTTAACTACTCTGTCATGAAAGAAAACCAATTACCGTGCCGTATGTTTTAAGAGCGATTTGGTGAAAGACTAACACTATTCCATTTTTACATCGAATTAGTTCCCCTCCATAAGTTATTCCAAATTTGATTTTGTTGCTTTAGTTCTGTAGTATGTGAATTTCTGTAAAAAAAAACCATGTTGTAAAGTGTAAAGCTTGAACTAAGATTTCAATTTCTTGGGCTTAGAATTGGTTTGTCAAATTCCTACAAGTATCTTGTGGTTTCCTACTTGATCATGGAATTCCTCTCTGCCATAAGTATTGGAAGTGTGAATTCTGGAAAGGAAAATCTTCTAAGTGCTGTTCTACCATTGTTGAAACTCCTATCTCTCACTCTCATTGGTCTGATTCTTGCCCACCCCAAAACCCAAATTGTCCCGAGAGCCACTTTTAAGCTTCTTAGCAAGCTTGTTTTGGCTCTGTTCTTGCCTTGTACGATCTTCATTCACCTCGGTGAATCCATTGCTCTACAAAATTTCATCGATTGGTGGTTCATACCTGTATACGTGATCCTCAGTACTGCTATTGGTTGTGTGTTGGGGTTGTTGGTCGTGAGAATATGCCGAGGAACACCTCCTGAATTCAACAGATTCACTGTAATTGTGACGGCCTTTAGTAACACTGGCAATCTGCCCCAAGCTATTGTTGGGTCCGTGTGTCATAGCGCAGATAATCCTTTTGGTCCAGAATGCCATAGGACTGGTATTGCTTATGTTTCTTTTGCTCATGGGTTGCTGTACTTCTTTTTTATACTCTTGTTTATCACATGATGGAGCCCCCGTTAGAGTATTACGAGGTGGTTGAGCAGGAGGAGGAGGAGTTGAGGATTCAGGAACAATTATCAGTCGACAATCTCAGTAGGCC